GTCCAGAGAATGCATTGAGCCCAAATGCATTTTGTGCATTTTGTGGGGAGCATCAAACAGAGTCGCCTCAAAGGTTTTTCTGATTTTTTCACCACCTTCCGTCGCCCCTGGACCCTTCTGAAGTGCCGTTTTTCTGCATTACCCCTTTACGGAGGCTGAATTAACCCTTTATCATCAACCCTCGTCAATGCAACTTTGCACACACCCAGAGGACACTTCAAAACTAAACCTCACGAAGTTTCCCGAAGATCGGTTGAAAACTCTCGGAGTTATTACTTTTTAAAATAGTGTCCCGTTTTTTTTGACGGCTAGTGTATTAATTATAGAATATATTCAACATACACCATGTATATTTTATGTATGTTGAATATACTATTGTACGTCAGGGATGCATAAAATCCGCGGTTTAGTAATTACATATGAATGGATATTAATCCGTGGCAAAATGTGATCGCTAGACAGCGGATCTTTATGCAAAATAAAATCTTTGCGCACCAATTATGGAACGCAAACATGAAAATATAGCTCCCTGGACCATAAAACCTTCAAAAACCAATACAGAGTTGGCAGATATTCCAAAAAATCAAAAAAGTTCAATAGAACACAAATCTAAATTCCTAGAACTGGATTATAACTTCACGAACCACAATAAAATGTATACTGATGCAAAAACAGAGAATAGAGTGGGACATGCTGTCATCGCTGAAATCACCGAAATAAAACAAAGCCTACCTAAATCTACCACTATCTTTACCGCTGAAGCCTACGGAATACTGGAAGCTGTCAATCTTATATCTACACATATCCCTTACAAAACCACGTTATATATTCCGACTCCATAAGTGTAATAAAAGTTTAGTGAACGTAAACGAAAAAAATAACTCCGAAATTATCCGAAAAATCCAGGAAACGTGCACCAAACTTACAAACAAAAACAAAAACATAACAATTACTTGTGTATCTTCCCACCAAGGCATCACTGGCAACAAAAAAGCAGACCTCATTGCAAGAGAAGCGACAATCATGACTCCAAATAATGAAATAGAAATTCCATACCAAGACTTGATTACAAGAATACAACACTCATCGACAGAAGAATGGAATAAAATATGGAACAACAAAAGAACAAAAACTCACAATATAACGCACGACTTTTACCAAGCAGTATCCCAACACTCCATGACCAGGAAAGAAAAAATAATAATGACTAGATTCAGAACTGGACATTAAAAAATCACACATGAATACGTATTAAAGAAAACGTACCCTCCCCACTGCGACTCGTGCAATAAGGAAATCACAACTGACCACCTTCTATACGAATGTAGCAAGTTCGATCAACAAAGAAGAAAGTATAATCTCAATCCAGAAACAGCTTTAACATCCCAGGAACATATGTAAGATACCATCAACTACCTCAAGGATACCAAACTCTACAGTAGTATATAGAACCACCAGAAACCCAATCAAATTCGTCGCTAATTACCATGCAGTAGATGGGGCGTAAAATAAATCCATATAAAAAAAAAATCTTCGCGAACGTTCCTACAAAAATTGGACCTAAATAGGAATTTCTTTTATTCTGCAAATATTATAACATGAACTTTACTTTCAATCTTTTTTATAATCTTGTATATTGTTCGCATTTTGTAGATTCTTGTACATACAAATTTCTTATAACTGCATAAAGATCCGCAGTCTAGTGATCACTAATAACCTTGATAGATACAGTGGATCAAAAAAGTGTTTACACACTCAGTTTTTTGAAGATAACTGTCTGTAAAGAAATAGTACTTTAATATAATGTACGTGTTTTAATGCTTCATTACAGACAGAAACAATATGTTGACTTAGAAATGTTAATAATCTGCCGTTCGAAAAAAATTTGAAGAAATCAAAAATGTTCTAATCAAAAAGATATTGGCATACTGATGATGGGCATAGTAACAGAACATTTCTTCATCCTTATACGACTTATATCGCGACAGTACAATGTCGCAGATATAAACAGACATTTATATACATGTACACGTGACTTTAAACTGCAGTGACTGTTCTGTAAGGGAAGAGCGAATGGAGGGTGAAAAGTTCATTGCATAAATCGATTAACTTCATTTTCTGAAAAGTCTTAAATTTAAGTGTCAAAGCTGTTGGTATAGTCATAACTTTTTATATTTATAATAACTGTGGTGGTTGTTCCTGTGGAGGGAGAGCGAGAAAGGAGGAAAGGAAGGGGGATTACTTGCCTAGCAAGTAATTCATTTATTTTCATATCGGACGTTCAAGTTTCGTTGGATTTGTAATTTCATCGATCGGCATTCCGGAAACCGCGTTTTAGTGCGAGGTGCACAACAGCCCAGTGTGTTCCAAATTTAATACAAGGGCCGTCCTAAATATGACGACTTCCTTCCGTGGAAGTAGACAGAATTGGAAATTCCAGACGGCCGCGCTCGCGCCCGGAGGAAGACGGAGGAAGCGCCAAGAGACTTCCGTTTGCCGACGGCGTACCCACGTTACTCCTTCGAGAGTAGAATCCAATTTAAGCATGGCACGATTCCCAAGTCGTGATACCGAATCGGGCTAACTGCCGCACTCGCCAGCTACTCCTGCAGCCGAAATGCGGTAACAAAGTGTATACAGGGTGGGGCAATAACTTCTTCCACCTTAAATATCTCTGTTATTTATAGTTTTGTGAAAAAACTTTCCACGGTAAAGCTGCATTGTTTTTAGGAGCATTGTAAGGTTATCAATTTTTTTTTTTAATGGAACTCCACATTTTTTAAATCTTTGAATAATGCACGGACTCGTGACTATTTCAGAGTAGTATAATACAAGATCATTCAAGGTCATCGTGAAATTACTTGATACGTAAAAAATTAAATTAAATTGCTTTATTAGACTGCAGATGTTTATGCATTTATGACAAATGGAGATACGGAGAAATCTATAGGAATGTGCATAAATGTAGAAATATGTAAAATATCAAGAATAATATAGATGTTATGCCGTTTAGAAGAGAAGGTTTCATTTAAGTTTAAATTCTTTTTCTGTATGTGTGAAAATATGATTTTCCATAAACATCCGCAGTCTAATTATTATCATATTCAAAATATATATCTATATATATTTATAATAGCACCAGGCCCGAAATCTACTGTCTGAATAGATTTGGGGTATTGTTTGGTGAGACGGCAATATTGAATACCATTAATACGCATACTGTCTACACGGAAATACTGACTGTTTAAATTTGGGGTAGTTTTTGATGGGGACGTCAATATTGAATACCGTCAATGTAAAAAACTGATGTTCCTCCACGGAGAAAAAAGTTGGAAATGATGTATTTACCGAGATCGGTGCAAAAAAAAACACTTTTTTGGATTATTTCAGTTTTTGACCCCCGAGGGGGGGGGAGTTAAGGCTCTGTGTATATATATGTATATATCCACGTTACATTTCATACGAAATAAAATGTGATGTAAATGCAATATTATTACGTATATAATATATATTTGCAACGAAAGGTGCCGTATGGATATATTTGCACAAATTTATAAACTTTTTTATTGTTTATAACAATTGTTACTGCAAAATTCCTATTCATTCATGTATCTCGGCAAGGAATTAACCGATTGCGATTAAACCTTCCACATATGTATAATGACAGATGATTTCATGATGTTTCCATTTGGAAAAATTTTTGAATGTCTTAAAGTTTATAACAATTCTTACTGCAAAATTCCAATTTTTTTATGTAACTCGGCAAGAAATTAACCGATTGCGATGAAGCCTTCTACATTGAAATGACAGATGATTTTTTCTTTCATACTATCAGGGTCATTCCACACGAAATCGGACACTAAATGGAACATCATTTCAGATTTTGTGCAATTATGTTGCCAGTCTTTTGTGATACGGAATATTCTTCCCTTCTATGAATAAACATTTTCTTCTGAGATAATAGGTTGAAGTAATAATATAATAAGATCGATAATTCTACCATTTCTACCCGTTTCTCTAGAATTTTCCGAAATTTCACGTAAAGTGACGCTAGACTTCCTAAGTAACAAAAATAAAAGTCCCGTACAGAGACCATAGCGCGTTTCCATAGTCGCTTCGATTGTTGAATCTCGTTAAAAGTTTATATGAGCCAATCAAAGCCGGATCGTTCCGCGTTATCATCGAAAGCATCGGACGCATAGAAAGTAGAACATTCACATTGAAATTTACCGCACCTGGTGCGTCTACCATGTCGAGTTTTGCGGTTTGATCGTCATACGCGAGGAAGTCGCTTTGCTAGTAACCCTTTGCGCTCGAGAGCTGATGCTCACAAGGAGAGTCGGGTTAGTGACCGCCCCGATCCTTTTGAAACTTTGTAGGTTTGCAGAGTATCGAGAAATATTAGACATGTATCTTTTTATACCTGCTCTGATTCACTTTGAAGGGTGGAAACCACTTCCGAAGTCGTTGAAATACTCATTCAACGTAACAGACTAACAAGTTTGACGGACCTGTTTTACCTAACTTTTGAACTACAAAAGATATCGTAATTATTGGAAATGAGGTATAAGTGAATAATAAAATACGTTCAAAGAAAACCATAGAAAGAGTTTCTAGCTGTATACAGCGCAGTTTTACCACATCTGTTTAGTCTTTAGTAAACTACAGGAAGTGTCCTCTCAGGCACTTGAGAGGGTAGGTCAATAACCTAAACGAAAACTTTCTCTTTCGTTATTCTGCAGTGACAGATATAACGTTGTGCATTTATTCTCAGTACATTTATTTTTGTAGTAAAAACACATGTTGCTGTTTAGTAAATATTTCAACAGTAATGAAACTTGAACTGAATATATTTAAAAAAATAAATAGACTTCAACAGTATAGAATCGAGTAAGTATAACAACCGATAACTTCGTTATCGGTACGAAGTGCGACAATTTGCGAAATTGATACTAACTGCCGACTGCTTGGCTTACTTCGAACATGTCTCGATCACTTACCTTATCGAAACGAGTATCATGGCGAATATCAGGTACTTTCCAAGCAGCGGCACGACCAGCGACGTAGGCGGAATGATCTCGACGACCAACAGGAAGAACACATGAAGACTGATGAGAATGGAAATGGAGAGCGTGACCTGCAATCACATAGTTCTCGGTTAAAGTTCAAGTTTATTCTTAAACAAAAATAAAATGAAACTCCATTTTCGGTTAAGACTACCGGACATTTGATAGTTAAACGTTTTCGGTCCGTGTGAATATTGTGAAATTTTTCTTAACCCTTTGAACTCGAGAGGTGACTGTCAGTCACCATTAGGTTTCACGCAGCAAATCTACAATACCTAATGTTTCTTTAGGTTTCATTTTTTTGGAGCTCGAAGTGTCAATAAAATAATTGACGGCGAGGTAAAGGTGACCTTATTCTAAAATCTCGATAGCTTAGAATTCATGGCAATAGAATCCTAAGAAACATCTCGAGTTGCTGGCAGATACCAGAAAAAAAGCCTCGAGTGCAAAGGGTTAATATTGTCTGGGATACAAAACAACTCATTCATGTCTGACCATTTCTCGCCAATTCTACTTACGGAGTTTGTTAACCCTTTGGACTCGAGAGGTGACTGTCAGTTACCATTAGGTTCCACGGAGGAATTCTACAATACCTAATGTTTCTTTAAGTTTCATTTCTTTGGAGCTCGATGTGTCGATAAAATGATTGTCGGGGATGTAAAGGTGACCTTATTCTAAAATCTCGATAGCTTAGAATTCATGGCAATAGAATGCTAAGAAACATCTCGAGTTGCTGGTAGATATCAGAAAAAAAGGCCTCGAGTGCAAAGGGTTAATTGATATTTAAATATTTTTAACGTGTTGGATACTTCGGGCCTTTGGCGACTCGAAGTCTAACAAGGGAAGGGTCAGAAGTGATATTCACCGATTGCAATGAAATTTGGTAGAGTGATAGATCTATATCTAGAATAAGCGTAACTGTAATATTAGCCGCAGA